ACCTGAGCATGGGAGGTCAAGGCCACAGTGGGCCCACAGAGTGAGACCCTGTCTCAAAAAAATAAAATTAGTAGGGTGAAGTGGCACATACGTGCAGTCCCAGCTACTCAGAAGGCTGCGGTGGGAGGATCACTTGAGCGGAGAGGGAAGAGTTCATACCCAGTGGAGGGTGGGGAGGCTGCAAGGACTGGGGGCCAAGTGCCAGGGCCTACACAGCCAGACCGAGGAGGTGGGCCGCAGGTGAGTCATGCAAGGTTGAAAGGGGCAGAACTCCCAGAGGCCAGAGTTGGGGCAGGAAAGGGAGTCAATCTCATGCATGACCCCAGATGCTAAGACATGCTTGCTGTACTTTGAAAATACCCTGTTGGGCTGAGTTCATTACATTCTTTCTACGTTTATTTTTTGTTTGTATGTTTGAAACAGGGTTTCACTCTGTTGCTCAGGCTGGAGGGCAGTTATGATCACAGCTTACTTCAGCCTTGACTCCCAGGCTCAAGTGATCCTCTGGCCTCAGACTGCCAAGTAGCTAGGACTACAGGAACGCACCACCACACTTAGATAATTTTTTATTTTTTTGTATAGATGGGGTCACACTATATTGCCCAGGCTGATTGCAAACTCCCCAGCTCAAGTGATCCTCCTGATCTCAGCTCGCTGTAACCTCCACCTCCCAAGTTCAAGCAATTCTTGTGCCTCAGCCACCAGAGTAGCTGGGACTACAGGCATGTGCCACCATGCCTGGCTAATTTTTGTATTTTTTGTAGAGATGGGGTTTCACCATGTTAGCCAGGCTGGTCTTGAACTCCCAGCCTCAAGTGATCTACCCGCCTCAGCCTCTCTCAAAGTGTTGTGATTACACGCATGAGCCATTGTGCCCAGCCATCTTAAAACTTTTTAATGGAAACTTTCAATTACAAACAAATGTAAACAACAATAATAGGCCAAGGGTGGTGATGCGTGCCTGTAGTCCCAGCTACTCGGGTGGCTGAGGCATGAGCATCACTTGAACCTCTAAGGTGGAGGTTGCAGTGAGCTGAGATCGTGCCACTGCACTCCAGCCTGGGCAACAGAGCAAGACTCTGTCTCAAAAAAAAAAAAAAAAAAAGTTTAAAAGAAGTTCCTTTACTACTTGGGTGATTTAAAAGAAAATAGGTTACATTTTCTGCTATGGATTAGACATTATTGAAAAAGATGTACTGTGAAATGGTTGCTTTCAGAAAATGATTTTTTAACTTGGCGTCTGAGGCAAGAAAAACTATTAATAGAAATATGAATTTAACTATTTTTCAGATACAGTGCAGTCAGCTTGAAGAGGATATTCAGTCCTTAACAGAAGAAACGGAACTCTTTTATCACAGAGGGTTGTAGGCGTGAGTTTTAGGTGAATTTATGTGGTTCCTGCATGAAAACCTTGCCCTCTCCAGGTTCGGTTTAGAGAACTCTGCCACAAGTCTTCTGGGAACCCCAGAGGTGTCTGTGCTGACAAGGTGACTTAAAATTCCACACTGAGATCGTTCCCAGGCTGGTGTGTCTGGGGTTTTTAAGGCTGGCTAGAGAAGACAGCAGGAAGGGGCCCCCATCTGACACCTTGGGGATTGTTGAGGGGATAGTTGGAGTGAGTCTCAGCCTGTGAAAGGGTACTATGAAATCACTAATTAATAAACCTGTCTCAAGTTGAGTATTTGAAGAAAGAACACAAAGAGTCCACCGTGCCCAGGACACAGGCGTTAAATGGATAGCCCGTCTCAAGTGGAACACGCACCCCTGGGGAGCTGTTTATGGCCTCTAACCCCAAAAGCAATCTTGTTTCCTTACTCAGCGTCCTCCATTCTAGAAGTCTACTTAAAACTTTTGCTGCCCTCACCCAGTGCCTCCTTTCTCCTCTCTGCCAAAGGACCCTGCCTCCTCTGCCAGGAAACCAAGGTCAGCAGTGAAGCCTCCCGTCCTGCACCCACACCCACACCCATCCTTCCTCCATGCAAGGCCAGCGTCCTCCAGACTCTGGGCCCCTCTCTGCTTCCTCAGGGCTGTGCTCTGCAGCCTCTGTCTGCTGGGTCCTTCCCTGAAGTATGTAAACTGCTTGTCAGCCAGGTGCAGTGACTTACACCTGTAATCCCAGAACTTTGGGAGGCCGAGGCCAGTGGATCATCTGAGGTCAGGAGTTCGAGACCAGTCTGGCCAACATGGTGAAATCTTGTGTCTATTAAAAATACAAAAATCAGCCGGGTGTTGTGGTGCGCACCTGTAGTCCCAACAACTCGGGAGGCTGAGGCAGAAGAATCACTTAAACCCAGGAGGCAGAGGTTGTAGCGAGCCAAGATCGTGCCTCTGCACTCCAGCCTGGGCAACAGAGACTCTAACTCAAAAATAAAGTGCTTGACACCGGCCACATTAGAGACAGGAACTTGCTGTCACCCAGGCTGGAGTACAGTGGCACAACCATAGCTCACTGCAGCCTTAAACTCCTGGGCTCAAGGGACCCATCTGCCTCAGCCTCCTGAGTAGCTGGGCCCCCGCCACCGCACCTGGCTGTAGCCAGACACCTTAAGAGTTGTCCACCCTCACTGTCTCTGCCCTGCCCACCGTTCTGCTGAATCTTCTCTCATCCGTGACCCACTGAATGTTGTACTGCCATGCTGCTGGGTACTCAGGCTGGTCACTGAGCTGCCTACTCCGCTGCACTTTGCCATTTGGATGTCCCAAACACCTCAAATTCAACCCACCGAAACCTGAGATCAGCTCTCCCTCCCAGTCTCCCTCCCAGCTCTCCCTCCCAGGAATTGACACCACCACCTACCCAGGTGCAGCAGGCAGGATCCCTGGAGCACCCTCTCCCCACCTTACTCCCAGCCTATTCAGTAGACTGGGCCCAGGACACATAGTCTGGAACCCTCCTATGCCCACTGCTACCTCCCAGTGCAGTCCCACAGCACCCCCTGCTGGCCTGCCTGACCTATCTGCCTACTCCCCCAAGTCTGATTCCAGTCTGCTCTTCTAAACTGCACCTGCTGAACAGCTTTTTTTTTTTTTTTGAGACGGAGTCTTGCTCTGTCACCCATGCTGGAATGTGGAGCCCAGTGAGGTGATCTTAATCTCCACCTCCTGATTCAAGTGATTCTTGTGCCTCAGCCTCCTGAGTAGCTGGGACTACAGGTGTGCGCCAGCTACCATACCCAGCTAGTTGTTTTTTTTGTGTTTTTTTTTGAGACAGAGTTTCGCTGTTGTTGCCCAGACTGGAGTGCAATGGCACGATCTCGGCTTACCGCAACCTCCGCCTCCTGGGTTCAAGCAATTCTCCTGCCTCAGCCTCCCGAGTAGCTGGGACTACAGGCACGCACCATCATGCCCAGCTAATTTTTGTATTTTTAGTAGAGACGGGGTTTCATCTTGTTGACCAGGATGGTCTCGATCTCTTGACCTCATGATCCACCCGCCTCGGCCTCCCAAAGTGCTGGGATTACAGGCTTGAGCCACCGCGCCCGGCCTTTTTTTTTTTAGTAGAGATGCGGTTTCACCATGTTGGCCAGGCTGGTCTTGAACTCCTGACCTCATGATCCAGCCACCTCGGCCTCTCAAAGTGCTGGGATTACAGGCATGAGCACCACACCTGGCCTGAAAAGAAGCCTTAAATGGCTTAGTGCGTCACGATGAAGCCCACATTCCTCACCACAGCAAGCCTTTCTTGTACTCCTATCCTGCCATTCCCTCCCCTCCCCTCTAAACCCCTCCAGGTCTTCACAGGGGCTGTGGGCTCTCTTCCGGGCCTTCACACAGCTGTTTCCTTCAGTCTGAGTGGATGTCTGCTTATGCTTCAGGTCTGACTTTGATGTTGATCACTCCCTCTGGGAGGCCTTCCAGGACTGACAGCATGGAACTGGGTGCCTAGCTGTGTGTTCCCATATAGACATTCTTTTTTTTTTTTTTTTTTTTTTGAGACGGAGTTTCACTCTTGTTACCCAGGCTGGAGTGCAGTGGCGCGACCTCGGCTCACCGCAACCTCCGCCTCCTGGGTTCAGGCAAGTCTCCTGCCTCAGCATCCCAAGTAGCTGGGATTACAGGCACGCGCCACCATGCCCAGCTGTTTTGTATTTTTAGTAGAGACGGGGTTTCACCATGTTGACCAGGATGGTCTCGATCGCTTGACCTCGTGATCCACCCGCCTCGGCCTCCCAAAGTGCTGGGATCACAGGCTTGAGCCACTGCACCCGGCCCCATATAGACATTCTAACGGCTGTTTCACATATGAGGCCTAGCACTAGCTGCACTGCAGCAGCCTGTCTGCTGACCCTGTTCCCCCAGCTGACTGCACAGCGCCTCGAGAGGAGGGGCTGCTGCCCATCAGGGTGGCTCAAAATATAACACAGGGCATGGCGCGGAGTAGGTACTTCAACATTCGTGTACTGGAGGAATGTTTGCAACGCACCCTACCCCAAATTACCAAAGAATTTATCTGTGGTTTTGTTTTCCCAAGGCCAGAATGGTGGTTATTTCCAAATAACCATCATTTGGTGAGGAAAGTTTCACCATAGCCTAAAAGGACATCAATAAATGGCTGCCTGACCGCGGGCTTACACTAACCAAAATTAAAGTCAGAGAACAAGATGGGCAAGAGCTGCAGGTGGAAGTTTAACCACTAACAGGTGAACAGAAATGTGAAGGCACCTTCCAAGGACGGGAGACTGAAGTTACAGAGGCAGCCCAGGAAGGCGGGTGGAGGAGAGCTAGGGTGGGAGGGAAGGGCGTGGTGAGGGATGGTTTCAACCTTTTTTTTTTTTTTTTGAAACTGAGTCTCTGTCACCCAGGCTGGAGTGCAGTGGTGCCATCTGGGCTCACTATAACCTTTGCCTACCGGCTTCAAGCAATTCTCTTGCCCCAGCCTCTCAAGTAGCTGGGGCTACAGGTGTGTGCCAACATGCCCAGCTAATTTTTCTATTTTTAGTAGAGACATGGGGTTTTACCACACTGGCCAGGCTGGCCTCAAACTCCCTACCTCAGGTGATCTGCCCGCCTCAGCCTCCCAAAGTGCTGGGATTACAGGTGTAAGCCACCGCACCCGGCCAGCTTGAACTTTTAGACAGGTCTTTTAATAATTCCCTAGTGCGCTCACAGTTGGAAAGAGGGTTTTTTCTCCTTCTCTGTGGAATGAGCAGAATTAGAGAAAGAGGGGAAAATTTGTCACCCACTTAAAAGTAGTTGAATATCAAAATACTTTATTTCTGCATCATAAATTTATAATTTGAACTGATCATTAGCTAATATATAATACAAGAAAATGAGGAAGGAAAAGATGTTAGTATTTTTCATTTCCATAAAGTGCAGATTTAATTTTCAATTGCTTGCCTTAGTAAACATCGTCTCATTTCATGACCTCACCTGCCCTCACTCAAAAAGGGAGGGTAATTTTTATTTAACAAATATGTAAAACCAAGAAAATATGAAAGATCCAATAATGTGTTTTGCAAACATGTTTCCAGGTAAGGTTTCCAAGGACATCAGTACTGAGTGAAAAATAATCCTCTACAATCAATATGAATGAATACACTAACAAGTACAACATTTAGACCTCCATGCTTATTTGGCCATTTTAAGGTCTCCAGTTATGAAAAAGGTACATAACTGAACGAACAGCTTGCCTTGACGTGGCCAAATTACTTGCACCGAAGTTGCTGGAAGCCTTTCTCTGTTTTGGCCCCTTTAAGAAGTTAATTCTCATATTCCCTTAGCAATAATATAAGGTCACTGTTTCAGTCCTACACACTTTTATAGTCAATGGGCTTCCTGGATTACCACATAAAGACTGGCACCCTTTTCAAAAGAATATTGCTAACAGGGTTAAATGAGTGCTAATGGCTGAACGCTTGCCAAATGCTTCCTTCTGCGATAGTATAAATATGCATTATTAAAGTTGTCTAATCAAGTATAAAATATATGCAAAACTCTCATAATAAAGGCAAAATGCTCAAAGGCCAGGAAAAACCTTTTTTTTTTTTTTTTTTTTTTTTTTTTTTTAACTTTTACAAGAAAGTGCAACTGCATGGTCTCTTGAATGATCTTCTAGACAATTCTGCAGAAAACTTAGCAGTTTGGCTCAGAAAGTAGAGTTCCTCAGGAGGAATTAAAGTTCTTCCTAGAAGAATACAAAGTGGGCCGGGCGCGGTGGCTCATGCCTGTAATCCCAGCACTGTGGGAGGCCGAGGCGGGTGGATCACGAGGTCAAGAGATCGAGACCATCCTGGTCAACATGGTGAAACCC